TTCTCTATCCGGAGGTAATCCAGGCAACTCCTCGGGAAAAACATCGAAAAATTCTTTGACAATCCGGATACCTTCAATATCAGACTGAGAACTCCTAGTATCCAATATATAAGCAAGAAACACCTCGGAACCTTTCATGATCATCTTCTCAGCTACCAAAGTAGATACAACATTCGTCAGAAATCCACGAATTTCCCCAATCATTACAATCTTTCGCAATATCAGACTGAGAACTCCTAGTATCCAATATATAAGCAAGAAACACCTCGGAACCTTTCCTGATCATCTTCTCAGCTACCAAAGCAGATACAACATTCGTCAGAAATCCACGGCATTCCCCAATCATTACAATCTTTCGATTATCCGGGGTCTTCATAACACCTCTCTTATTCTCAAAATCAATATTTACTCGATGTTTGTCCAACCAATCTACGCCGAGAATCAAATCAAACTCTTCTAAAGGTAACTCCATCAGGTTAACCAGAAAAAATCTCTCCATTGATCTCAATAGGGCTCTCTCTATAAAGACGATCCAACACAATGAACTTGCCTAAGGGACTTTGAACTATCACCGAATGCTCAGTATTCTCAACAGGAATATTTAGACCCTTAGAAACAGAATGCGATACATAGGAATTGGTAGAACCACTATCAAACAATGCAAAGTACGAAACTGAATGAATAGTAACAGTATCTGCAGTCACATTAGGCACATCACGATCTTGTCGAAGTCTGGAAGTGTAAACCAATGCAGGTTGTCTGGCCTCAGATCTTACTGGACCCCTACTCTGAGATACTCAGCCTCTATTAGTCGATCTTGGTGCTCTGCCCTGACTATGATTCACCGCTGAAGTCTGAACAGTACTCTGAGTACGAGTGGGAGTACGAGCTGGTGTCTGAACAGAACGAAGTATCTCTGGACAATCCTTCAAATGATGGTCATCATACCCATATTTATAACAAGTGCCCAATTTCATCCTGCATTCCCCAAAATGATGTTTCCCACAGTAATCACATGTTGGCAATGATTGCGACCTAAAAGAACCACCATGTCTAGAAGATTGAACAACTGAAGAACCAGATACAACAGGTCTGACACTCTTACCATCTCTCTGAAATGACTCACCCCTGCATCTCTTGCTAAGGTGTGCTGAAGAATAAACAAAACCAGAAGGCTTCCTGAATCGGGTTTGAGCTCGATCACTATCTCTCTTGTGCTCCATACCCAGTCGCTTTATTTCCTCAGCAGTCTTGGCTATCTCAACCAAAGCATCAAAATTCCTCTCTCGGTGTGTAGCAGCTCGACTCCTGATCTCATACCTGAGTCCATTCTCGAACCTCAAGCATTGATCTATCTCCGTGTCAACAAGTTCAAGAGCATAACGGCTCAATCGGATAAACTCCACCTCGTAATCTATAACAGACATATTACCCTGCTCCAGATTCTGAAACTCCTGGCGTCGCTCCTGCAGATATCTCTCTCCAATGTAGCGACTCCGGAAGCACGTCTTGAAAAGATCCCATGTTAATTGGTTCCTCGGAATACTACCAGAAATGGATTGCCACCATCTGAAGCTTTCTTTCTTCAACATAGTTAGGGCCCCCTTTAACTTTTGCTCAGGTCTGAGGTCAATCTCATCCATAATCCTCTCTGTGTCCTCCAACCAATACTCAGCGTCTGTCGGAGGTCCACCAGTAATACCCTGGAATAGAACTACACCAGCAGTAACCAGAGAATTAGAAATCTCCACTGCATTCATGTTACTAGGGGCTCTAGCAGCTCTCTGAAACATGCGGAAGATAGCTCTATTAATGGCGTCTTCATTCATCTCAGTATCCTCATCTTCAGTGATGGGAGGGTCTCTCACAGGAGTAAACTGATCATCATGAGAAAGAGTCGGATCTACTTGCGGAACAGGAGGATCACGTGGTGACATCGGATCGTCTATCGTAACAGAAGGTCGAGTGACTCGCCTCTACCACGTCCACATCCTGTCCTACGACCTTTAGCAGCATTCATCATTGGATCTATAAGGCTCTACAGAAATAATTTGAAACATATGTCAGATTAGCATCAGGGATCTCGAGAAAATTTTAAATCATAACATAAGGTGACACATTTTTAAAAAAAAAATTCTTAAAAATCCAAAGTTTAGGACCCATTTACAGTCCGAGTGTTTAAAACGAAAGCTCTGATACCACCAAATGTAACCCCCATACCCAGTTTGTAAGTTAGACTCAAACCTAAGTGGTCACATATCCCATTTAGATGTTTTTTTATATATATTACAATACATTATATTAATACAAAACAAAATATTAATAATATAGATATATCCAAAACGATAGCAAATACATGTCACCAGATACAACAGAAAACATGTAGAGATATATGTTCGTACAAAATAAGTAGTTGATCTCCCCTGATGCCAAATCTGCTAGCTTATGGTCTGCTGTTATCTGAAAAAGGGTAAAAACTATAGAATGAACTAAAAAGCCCAGTGTGCTTCAAACAGTGTATAAAAACATTTTAATAAAATATTTCAGTAAAATCATTTCATTAAACATGTTTGTTTTATTTAAAATATGAACACTACCCCTTCCGTCACGAACAAAATGTGTAGGTTCCCCAGAACCATACACCCCGTCACGTCCAATAAGACCCTGAGTACAGAGCCGAGGAGTCTGCAAGTATTCTTCCTCCAACAATTCCCCCCCAATGTCAGTAATAAACAAGTATGTATTCAAGTAAAATTGGTGAATAATTCATGCTTAAAAAAACCATATACCGAAATACAGAAATCAGATATTAGGAAATCAATATTCAGGAATCACATATCATGTATCATGTCATAACAATATTATGAATTATCACCAATCTAAAACAATTCAAATAATATTTTTAAAACAGTAAAATAACACTGTCATGAAACACACCTGTAACAGTCTGAGAAATCATATGGGGAAGCTTATTACTGGTTTTATCGATCACACTCTACTGCAGCACTAGATCCTACGAATTGGGAAAATCCATATTGGAATCCTAATATAAATAATCTAAATATTATTTAAATAATATACGGAAATCTACGGGTAATTCTCGTAGTACGCGGTTCAGGCTGATCTAACGAACGGACAACACCGGACCTAAATGATCCTTGCTCAGGTGAAACACGAGTACCTTCATAAAATATTTTTATTGAATTAATTCCTTAACCAAATCTCAAATAAATAATCAAAGTCAACGGGTTTGACTAACGATTCGGGTCATAATTTGGCAAAACTGACTTCGGAATAAGATTCAGGATGTCGAAAAACATAAAGTATGACTTTCCGAAAAATTTGAATTCTTGGTCAAAATCAAAGTCAATGGGTTTGACTAACGATTTGGAGACTTTAGGGTTTGAATTTTGTGAAACCGACCCCAAAACCGGATTCGGGACGTCGAAAAATGTCAGGATAGGTATTCTCGGAAAAGATTAACTGTTGTTTAATGGTCGGTCAAAGTCGATCAAAGTTCTGGTCGAAGGAGGTCAACAAACTGTCAACCATTTTAAAGAAATATCACTTTTTTTAATAATTACCAAAATAACACCTTTTTTGAATTAATTCTCAAAATAGCACATTTTTCGAATTAATTCTCAAAAATAGCACATTTTTCGAATAAAACTCCCAAAATAGCACCATTTCGAATTAATTCCCAAAATAGCACTCATTTCGAATTAATTCTCAAATGTCACCCGGTCAACGGTCAACGGGTCGGGTCGGGTCGGGTCGGAACCGGTCAAACCGGTCATTCGACCTTCCCCACGCGCAGTGGCAGCGCGTGGGACGTCTTCTGGCAACATAAAATTCACGGAAAAATTTCTAAAAATTATTTTGAGCGATTTCGAGATACTTACAAAGCTCGGTTCAAATTTTTGAACGGCGGAGAGCTCGATTTCATCAAATCGGAAAACTTTGACCGCTTCACCACCACACGCGCCGTCGTCGCCGGAGAAAAAAGAGGACACCGGTGGACTCATAACGGCACAAAGAACACGATGGTGCCGGAGGTGTCGTAAACGAAGCAACGATCGACGATGAATTTAGGATTTCCTCGGCGATGGAGCTAAAAAACGTCGAGACTTTGACTTGAAATTCCCGACGTTTGGCAGCGTTTCACTTCAATTAATTTAAGGGGATTGTATATGAAGACTGTTCAAATATTTATTTACTTATTTAATTATAAATGCATTGCATTTTATCTTTATTTTTAATTTTCTGACTGCCGGAGGTCTTCCACGGAAGTTGCTCTTAACCATGCGTTGGGGGAAGCCTACTACTCTACCTCCCCCTTACCCCATTGCATATGGGAATAGGGTTTTGTTGTTGTTGTTGTTCCTCACTCGATAACGAACACGATGGTGGTTTCAAAATGACGATCGGAATTCGGACGACGTCGGGATCGTTGTCGGAAGTTGAGGTTGGGAGAGAGGATTTTGGCTCAATTTAGGACCAATTTCCGTATATAATATCAAACTTCACCAACTTTTCTTGGGTTTAGTCCCCAAATTTATCCAAATTACTTAATTAAAACCTCAAATTACAATTATATTTTTTTTTTAAATTTCCGGGTTGTTACACTAATTCTCACCGTTCAACTGAAATTTGCTTTCTTTACAGGAATATAGATGATGTTGACAAAACAATGGACGAGATCAATGAGCAAATCCAAAACATGAAGCACTGTCAACTCCTATTGGAGCTGCTGCTGATTTTGATGAGGTTAGTGTCTTCTTTTGTTTTTCCCGTGCTATTTATCTGTGTTCACAAATACCATGCCTAGCATTCATACTCATCCAACAATGAGTTGGAAACTTTTGATGTTTTAGGATGAATCGGAGGCAGAACTTGAAGGTGCTGAGTTGGAAGAACAACTTCTTCAGCCTGCAACAACCGCTCCTGCAGCTCCAGTCCAGGTACCTGCTGGTAGGCAACCAGCCCGGCCTGTTCCTCAGAAGCGCACTGCTGACAAAGCAGGGATCAATTTGAAGTGAAGGAAAGCTTGACCTGAGTTGGGTCCACAGCTTGACTCGAGGCAATGTAGAATAGAGTCCATAGAATGTTGTATGTTCACCATTTTTCTAGTCTAACTTAAATGTTAGAATTAAGCTTATCCATCGATTATCAATTAGTTTAGTGATATAAGAGGTAAATTTTTTAAATAATATTTAAATTTCAATTTTTTTTAACAAATTCTAGATTTAATCTTAATCTTAGAGGTGAAGGGAATGGTGGATACTAGAGGAAAGAAGAAGAGTATCCCTACATAAACAAGAACCTATGACCTAAGAAAATATGATGACATAAAGATAAGCGACCTAGTCATAAATTGAAATGAGAATATTATCTTATAGTAAATTTTTATAATTCTAATTATCAAATGATGAATCGAATATAATTGATTATATTATAAAAAAATAGAGAACACATCTTAATATTCCTCACTCAGAAGTTCTTAACCACATACTAATGTCAAACTTGTACAAATGGCTGAGAACCATGAATTAATAGCATTCGGACCCCACCAGCTTTTTGACCACAAGGGCATGGGACTAACCATTCCCGAAATGAAAATTAAATTTTAAAAAATTAATACATAATATATGAATTAATTAAATTATTTATTAGACGTTCATATATTTAAATATTAATATAAGATTAATATGAATTTTTTATAAATAAAAATAAAATAAATTCAAATAAGAATATATTATACGTAAATGTAAGGTGGATTAAGATATTAAATATTAGTACACATGATGTGGACATAAACCTGATTTGGAAGGCTGTGTAAAGACTTAGGACCAGCAAAGGAAAAGCATTTAACCTAAGGTAGAAAATATTGGAAGTTAGATGAAGAAATTAAGAAGAAGCGTGAGAGAGTCATGCATGCATGCATCCAGCAATTTGAGAGGCGTTTTACTTCTACTTATTTTGAACTTGACTCGACCCTCAACCAACCAACGCACATTTCGGTGACTTACTCGTGGAACAGTCAATTTTGCTGACTGCATATTCTCTCCATATCAGAGTTGTTTATCGTGATAATTTATCTTTTTTCGGTTTGAATAAAGAATCGTTAAAAAATAACGATGATCAGAAGTACGGATCCGGTTCTAAACTTCTTATTTTGGGAAAAAAAAGCAAAGAGAGAAATGTTCGGAAGAAGGATCAAACTCCACGCCGGAGAGAAAATAATTTTCTTATATACTTCGCGTCCTTGATGTCATGTGACAACACTAGTTGTTTGACGACGGATAATAGAAAATAAAACATGTAGAGAGATGGTTTAGGGTTTGTTATATTAATATATTTTCGTACATTTTATTCAATCACGAAACAAAAAAATTAAGTTGGAATTATGGATGTATTAATGAAATATGTCGATTTATTAACTCTATAGGTATCAAATCATTACATACATATATAGAAAAACTAAGCCTCACCAGTCCAAAAATCCCCTGAAATTAAACATTAATTATAGCAGAAAATAGTAGTGCAACCCACCTGAGTAATTTATTCACAAATTGTTCCATTAAACTTGAACATGACTTTAAAAGAAAATAAAACCTTTTACCAGCTTCATTTCGGATGACTACGTACATTAGGGTTAATATAATAAAATACTGCTAGGCTAGCCATCTTTATACGTTGTACGGGAAAGTACATCTACATTTGATCAGGTGCAGTGAACAGATAGTGGGGCCCCTCAAAATGAAGATGATCCAATACAATTCCTTGTTCTTCAGCGCCTCCATTGCCAGACCAAGCAGTAGAGTAATCCTCCAGTGAAAAGAAAGATGAACCGAAGAGATTCGAAACATCATGGGAAGACGACATACTGTAATTGTTGCTTGCGGTAGTACTCGTCGTGGCGCTATAATCCATAAGACCCGGTAGAGGGAACTGATCGATCTGGTCCGAAACAAACCCCGAATGATCATAATCCTGCGGGTATTTCACGTCTGCCATGGAAGAAGACGATATAGCAGTGATATTGTCATTCAAGTGACCGAGAGGTTCAGCTTCAACTGGAACCGAACTGGTGGAGCTGTTGGTTTTTTCCGACGATAATCTTTTCTTCAGCTTGGTGTTCCAGTGGTTCTTTACATCGTTGTCTGTTCTTCCCGGCAGTTGGGCAGCGATCATCGACCACCTAAATTAACCAAGATGCGTTATTTTCAGATTTAGACGGAAATTAAACCATGTTGAAACCGACTTGCCTGCTTCCTATGGTGTTATAGAGGGAGCATATGATGTTGTCTTCTTCTTCGGTAAATCCTCCATGCTTGATGTCTGGCCTGAGATAGTTCAGCCACCGCAGGCGACAACTCTTCCCGCAGCGTTTAAGGCCTAAAATGTAGAATCACCCACATCAGATACAGTCTGCTTCCACTATTCAGAGTTTAGAGTTTAGGGTTTACCTGCTTTACGAGGAAGAGCGATCCAGCTGCCGCCGGTGCCGTGTTTCCGGAGATAGCTCCTGAGCGTGTCGTCCTCATCAAGCGACCATGACCCTCTTTTCACGTTGGCTTTGTCACAGCAGGGAGCTCTTCCCATGGAAAAGAGAACTCGAGAGAGAGAGGGGTAACGAGAATGGTTGAGTTAACTCGGATGGGTTGGTATGGGAGGAGAAGACACGGTCTTAAAGCTGAGTGAAGACTATATAAAGTTTAGGAAACTTGACTCTTGTTATGACCATTTCTTGTTGAAGTTGGGATAATCTTGTGGCTACTTTTTCCATTTACGGATGATGATTTTGTTTGTTGGAGAAAGAGGAAAGGAGAGAGCACGGAGATCTCATGCATTGGGGTGTCAGCTGCAAACGCTCTTACATATGCAGATATCCGTATAAGAGTCGACGCTTTTGTATCTACCACGCGGTTTCTGCTTCACCATGGTCCATGTTTCCTATCTGGCTCAGTGTGAACCAAATACATGTACTAATACACTCATACGATTGCATAATATCAGTGAATCAAATGTTTCTGCTTCACCATGGTCCACGATCCGTTAACAACATGGTCAAAATAGAAGACAAACCATTAAGCTCAAGCTAACATTCTGCCCCAGCACAACCCCCAACCCAAACACGCCAGTATTCGGATCAAAGCTAACCAGTTATGAAACTCTGAGTTTACATATGTTTGAATAGACTTGATATTCATATCAAATTGATTTTTGATGAGTTTTAAAAATTACTCGAATACCACAATATCTTCATACTTAGCCTCCAGTAAAATATATCCACCACTTACAACTATAAGCATCAATGAACAGCAAGTAGTATAAATATTTTGAGTTCTTGTAGATTAATTTCCATAAAGGCATAATAATAAAATTGCCCCGACGTTTGTATAAGTGGTCGCTTTGTCATTCATACTTTTTCGAAGCATTTTAGTCCAACGTTTCGTTTTGAAGTAAAATGTCCCATAGTTGAATGTGGCGAGTTCATTTGTGATGTCATTTCAGTAAAAAAAATATTTTTAGAGTAAACTATAATTATAATTAATTACATATATAAACTTATAAAAAACATTTAAAAATAGTTTAAAATTATTTTTTAATGACGTGACATTCACATTAATAAGAAGTATTGATCGTTTGTTAACTAACGATTTCATCCACCTAGAAAACATTTTGCTCCAAAATATAATAAATGATCCAAAAGTAACACTCTACGAGGTAGGGGTGGGCAAAAATATCATATTCGAATAATCCGATCCATTTATTTTTTGAATAATATTAATATTAAAGTGTTGTTTATGTTTAATATGAATTCTTTTAAAAATGAAGTGTATCGCCAATCAATTAAATTCGAACTATGTCATAGCTTCCTAGGAAATTTTATTTTAAGGTGATTATATATGTTTTATATTATTTATGTATAATTCAGTATAATATATATTTTTGTAAAATGATAAGTATATTAACTATGGAAATATTTCAAAATAAATATATTAAATAAAAAATATACATTTTATATATAATTCAGTATAATTAGATATAATTTATATATACTCTTAATTTATAAAATAATTTTTATATAATCTAATATAATAAATGGGATTAATTCTAGATAAAATAAACAATATATTCGAATATCCAATTTTTCGGATCAGATTCAGATCGTTATTTTAATTATCCGAAATTTCGGATATCCCAATTTTCGAATCCGATAACCGAATTTGCACACCCCTATTACGAAGAGTGGTCATATAAGAATGCACAGCATGAGAAATGAATAAATTCGATCCATTACGTACAATAATCATAAACCCAAAATAAGAAGTATCTGACTGGATGTTGGATGAATTATTCAATTGACGGAGTCAGTATGGGATAAGAGGTGTCATTTGACACTATTAAAAAAACAATTTTTAATATATAAAATATAAAAAAAATATTTGATCTTATTTTTTTTAATATTTTTATAAAATACTTAATGATAAAAAAAATTAAAACACAGTTCAATTCTAATGACACTCGCCCTCCAAAAATAATCATATCATACAAATCTTTTTTTTTTTGTTGATAAAAATATAATTTAAATATTTAATATATTAGTGACCAAAATAATTTCAGAAGGGATCATGAAAATATACATATCTATATTGATGTAAGTATGTGTTTATTTTTAAGTATCAAGATAGTGGAAGATGTACATCTTTACACGAGTGTAAATCTGATACCTAACTACACTGGTGTAAGAATGTTCATCTCCCACTGTCTTGAATATAAGTATGTATATCTATATTAATGAATTAAAATTCAAATAAAAAATAGAGGAAGATGTTATTTTAATGTTTTAGAAGGGAGTATCATTGCTAAATGGGTAAATTACACGCTTACTCACTGAACTTTACTCTCTCTCCTATTTCACTCACTATATTTTCAATTTTTTCAATTTACTTACTGAACTTTAGACATTGAATTTTTTTGATCATTCAACCGTTAACTTTCTAACAGCGTTTTGACGTGGATTACTTAAATATTTTTTAATCATTAAAAAACAAATAAAAATAAACTAACTAAAAAATTTATTTTCTTTCTTTCTCCTTCCTCCTCCTCCCATTTTCTCTCTAATTTTCTCCTCAATTTGTACAAACTCAGATTTTAGTCACTATGTCGACTGTCGTTCTAACCACCACCGACCACCTTTGTCGGAGGTCAATGACTCTCAAAATCCCCATCTAAAAAACACCCCAAATGACTCAAACCCTATGTAACATCCCAAAAGTCAGGTTGGTGACCAAAATGAAAGTTTTTAAAACTTGGTGATCAATTTCAGAAAAGATTAAAAGTTTAGGGACTTAATTAGAAACTTTTGGTGTTAGAGTTAATAGCAAAGTTTGAAAGTAGAAAGGGTATAATGGTCATTTGATATGAAAGATTTTTATTTTTCCCTTTATAAGGGATTTAACCACGTGGAAATGAGAGAAAAAGAGAAAAGAGAAGTCTGTAAACTTTGATTCTTCTTCCTCCTCTCCACCGTGAGCTCATTTTCAAAGGTGAGAATGCTTTCAGTTGGTTAATTCTTGTAAGTTTTGAGTTGGTTTTATTCTTGGGATGTTAAGAAAGCTTAAGGGAAACTTAAGGTGGCTTAACAATAAAAGAATTTCGAATTATGAGTGATTGAAGAAAAATGGTTTTTAAGTGAATTGTTGAAATAGAGCTTGTTAAGGAATTCAGAAGTCATATTTGACTTGTCATCAGTTAGAATAAGAGATTATAGAGGTTAATTGAGAAGAATTACAAAGTTGAATAATTTGCAAGATTTTTAGTTTCAAGGGTTATAACGGGATATTGAATAATTTAATGAGTTAAAGTGATATAAGATGTTTAAGTAGGTATATTTGAATTTAATGAATCAAAAGAAGTTAGCATAGTGGAATTTAGATAAGTTATAGAGAATTTTTTGGGTTTAAAAAGATGAATTCTGGGCATGGGGTACCAGTACTGTTCATCCAGTACCGATACTTCAATGAAAAAAAGGGTCAAAAATCGATAGAGGGTATCGATACTCTATGAATCAGTATTGGTACCATAAGCTACAATTTTACAAGTTATTCAAGGGGTATCAATACCTAAGGGGTAGTATCGATACTATGGGTACCAATACCATTTGGCCAGTATCGGTACCATTTTGGAAATAAGAATCACAGAATCGATAGTGGGTATCGATACCCAGGCTTGGTATCGATACCATAACTAGGGAAGTATCAGTACCATACATAGGGTACCGATACTACTCAAAGTGGAAATTTGTATAAAGCCTTTCTTTTAGTTTGGATTATTAAGGATAGAATTATGATATTTAGAATGCTGATGTGAGTATCCAGTGTATAATTGTGTAGATATCAATCGGAAGCGAGTATATGATAGGTCAACGAGATAAGATCGAGCATGAAGAGATAAAATATCGGAATTGACTAGTGAGGCCAGGTGAGTGTATATTAATAGATGTATGATGTTTAATAGAAATAAGACTTGCGATAAGTCTATTTCCTATATTAGAATGTATAAATTCATGAACATGAGTATGTGTTTGATATGAGTATATGTGTTGTATGTTATGTTGTATGATTTGTGTGAATACATGTTATTGTGATGAATCTATGTGATATGATATATACTACAATATGGATATAAGGAATCGTACAAACATATGATATGTAATTATATATACTACATGATATAGGTGAACATAAGAGAACAAATTATAAGTATATGATATGATATAAGTAATTTCATGAGAATAGAATATAAGTTAGGAGATATTGATATAAATGAGTATATGCATATGTCAGATAAGTCATATAGAAAGTCTCTATGTTAAATAGAATTATGATCTAAAACTTGTTAGGTTCTTATGTGATATAAAGTATAGTGCAAAGATACAGGAAATCATATGAGAATGTTATAAGAATTAAGTAATAATAATAAGTTATGAGAATATATGTCTATGTAACAAGATATGTGAAAATGAACTAAGGGAATCTAAGAAATTAGTATATAAGAATATGATATATAAAATATGTAATAAGAATTTTAGGTGTTGTATGATAAATATGAACATATAAGAACAAGAGATAAGATATGTGATTTGTGATAGGAGTTATATGATATGAAATAAGACATATGTGGTTACATAAGACATGATATAAGATATGTGAGAAAAAAGGTACATGTGATAATTTAAGTGAACATAAGATATTATATGCCTATGTGAATATAATTATATGTGATATGCAACATATGACAATGAACTATGAGAACATACAAGAATGTTATATGATCTATGTGATAAGAAGTTATGAGACTACATGTGCATATGTGATAAACGTAAATTATAATGCTCATGTTATATGAAATGAGAGTTATAGGTATAATTGACATGCCAAGAGTCAAGGGTTACATAGGTCATTCGGGACACAGTACATAGGTCCTTTGGGACATAGTACACAGATCCTTCGGGACATAGTATATAAGTCATTCGGGACAAAGTTCACATGCCACTCAGTGAATTTTTATACGAGTTGTGGTGACAATATATTTGCACAACCTGAATGCACTCGCATACCTTAAGTTCTCACATGTTGACATGAGTTATTAAAGAGATAAAATAAATAAACTTTGTATGATGTTATGTATTTCCTTGTGAAATGATATATGTATTATATGATATATACGTTGTTATGATAGGAAAAGTATTATGTGAATCATATGAAGTTGCGTGTATTGTGTGAATGAGTCATATGATATTTAATAATGTTAAGTACAAAAATATATGACTAAGAATTATGAATGAATATAATAAAGATAAAAGAATGAGGTTAATGATGTTACAGACAAGATATGTAGATGTATATAATTGACTCTGTGTTGATGAGATATTATTTTGTGTGATATTATTGATATGAAATTTTCATGCATTGTTAAATTAGTTGGGGTTTCGTTATAAGTTTTTATTTTTGTCTCACTAAGTTATAGACTTAGCGTGTGAATGTTTCACATGTAGGTTCCGAGAAGATTATGGAGCAAAGAGAAGCAAGACATGTTAGCTTCTTCTTTTTGAAGATCATATTAGAAAAGAGTTTTGAAATGTATGTATATTGTTTTGTTGAAAGTAGTTGGCATGTAATTAATGTTTGAGTTTATATATGCTCTGATATGTTTTGTAAAACTAATTGATTTTAATTATTGTAGAATATTTGTTTTCTTGAAATATAAATTTAAATTTTAGCTAATTTGTAAAGAAAAACGTTTTGAAAAGTCAATGTGATACCTTGGACTCGGATTAGGGTCGGATACGGGTTGGGGTGTTATACCCTAAATCCCAAATTATAAACCCCTGCCCCTCCCTCACCATGGTAGCACCTTCATGGAAACATCTTTAGTTTTTTCTTGGTTCCGAAGGTGGCTCATTCATAAATACATACGAAAATAATTTTTATGTTCATATCCTAAATCAATCGACATAAGCTTGAAAACTCCTTATGAATCTTGATTTCAATAGCAATTTTGGTGATTTTTAACCAACCCCAACACCATTACCTTTTGTTTTCATCATATATTATTTGATTTTGTTGTCCTGCAAATCAAATCTGAGGTTTTTCTTTATCTTGCATGTCTTCTTTAGATTTAGAATTTGGGCCTTTGAAAGAGGGGATAAAGATGCCATTGGTAATTTGATGTTTGGATTTGGATTTGGGGTTGAAGGTTTAAAATTAGGGGTTGATAATAGAATTTAATAATTTTTTTTTACTTTTTAAAATTATAAATATGACGGGGCTAATTTTATTATTAAAATAAGCCATAACTCTGTTAATGAGAAAACAATTGAGTGACAAAAAAGTTTAATATCTAAAGTTCAGTGAGAAAAACTGAAAAATTGAAAGTACGGTGAGAAAAATAGGAGATAGAGTAAAGTTCAGTAAGTAAGCGTGTAATTTACCCTTAATAAATAAACGAGCTAATGAATGAACTTGTTCATGAACATAAACAAATCAAACATTTGTATGTGTTCGTTCATATTTATTTATTTAACTTAAAAAACAATGGTTCGTGAACAATTCATCAAGCATTTTACTAATTTACACCCATATTTTAATAACACTATACATTAATTTATCAAATATTATTGTTATACATTAATATATATAATTTTATTTAGATATTTTAATTTTTTTAAAATTATGACACCGTAATTTAAATTTCTGAGTTCGCAGCTGAGTTATTGATTACGGTAATGTTTATGTTTGTGCCAGATTACAAACATTTTGGAATTTTATGTGGGATTAATGGGTTGGGTCAAGTCTGTATTAATAATCAAACTTGAATCTTGGGCCCTAAGTCCAGGCCCAAAAGATTGTTCCAGAACACCGTTGAACTGACACGTGGCACGACGAGGAATTCGTCAGTGTCAAATTGTTACACTTTCCCTTCCACCGATCTTTCCCTTCTCGCTAATCATCCATTTGTACAAACAGTGGCTCTCCCCTCCACGTCAAATTCCATAAATAACCTCGCAGTTTTTGCATCTTTTCAATTCCACCCTCCGTTCCACCTCAGTATCAACACTCCCTCTACTGATAACTGATGAAATCATTCATTAGTGTAATTACTGCACCATTTTCACGGTTCAACTCGTTCATAATAAACGCAAATTGAGTGATCATCTGGGGTTTCTTCTCTCTGTAATGAATCTGCCATCTTTTGAATGGCTCGATTCTGTTACTGTTTCTCCCTTTTCCTCTTTGCTTTTACCATAAACCCTTGCTTCGCCGCTGATGAAATCGATGAATTCTCGATCATCGACTCGGACTTCCTCTCCACTCACGGCGATTACTCTCCGCCGTCGCCACCTCCGCCTCCCCTGCCACCACTTCCGCCTTCTCTCTCGTGTGGAGATTTAAACGGAGTTGGTACACTGGACACTCTATGTGAGCTTCATTCCAGCGTGGGTTTTCGTCGCGACGTGTATATAGCAGGGAACGGCAGCTTGCGCGTGTTTCCTGAAGTCATTTTGAGTTGTCCTTTTAAGGGTTGCTCAATTACCATCGATATGAGCCGTGGGGAATTCAGTTTGGGCCGGGATTCCCGCCTATCTGCGGGGACATTGTATATTACGGCTAGGAATGCGAGTTTCTCTAAGGGTTCAGTTGTAAATGTCAGTGGCCTAGCCGGTCAACCCCCGGCTCAGACCAGCGGAACCCCTTCGGGGATTCAAGGTGCCGGCGGGGGCCACGGCGGGAGAGGCGCTAGTTGCGTGACGGATAACATGAAACTGCCTGATGATGTTTGGGGAGGTGATGCTTACTCTTGGTCATCATTGGATAAACCGTGGAGTTATGGGAGTAAAGGAGGGACGACTAGCAAAGACAAGGATTATGGCGGGGAAGGTGGTGGGAGGATAAGGTTGGAGATGGAAGAGACAATTGAAGTTGGCGGGAGTATGTTGGCAAATGGAGGTGATGGCGGTGTAAAAGGCGGCGGAGGCTCCGGTGGAAGCATTTATATCAAGGCTCACAGAATGTAATTTAATTTGTTTCCCCCTCTGCTTATCAGTTATATTGTTCTGTGTACGTTGTGAGTGATTTATGATGCTTTTATTCAGTCAACGTTGGTTCATTTATTGCAACTATGACATTGTATTTATTTTCATCGCCAAGGATGTTGTGGTTATAAATTGGGTGGTCAAGATGCATCTCCTGGGGATAACAGTGAGGAGGAAAGTAAAATAAAATGAGCAAAACTCGAAGTGAATATGAAAGTTTAAAGAAAGAAGATGCATAAGCTTATGGGGGCATTTTTAGAACTGAGAGATCGAGTGAATCTATAAGATATTTAGGACTTTAAGAATTTGGGTACAAGGTACTGTAATGATTTAAGTTAGGTTTGAATACCAATACTGGGATTATCCGACCTGCTTTTCCAGGACTTTTCGTTCTTATCTCACACTGCAAACATAGATAAAATTTATGTGGACCAACATGTTGAAAAATCTTTTACTCTTTTCACATTCCTGTGGTTTTGAAGCAATTGTATGCTCTTTGTTTTGAGATTGATGGCAGAGTAAGTTACTTCAAATGTCACTCAGTTTGACTTCCTTTACTGTTTTTTACTATTGAAATATGTTATCTGTGCTTAAGTTGGTGGGAGAATCAGAACTTCATCTATTGCTGTATGATCAACACGTAGAATGGAATTTCTGACAAAGTTAAAAGGTCATGTCCTAATTCAATCTATTATTAAATTAGAGTTAAACTCTTTGTGGCTGTGATTCCTCCTTTATCTTATTATTGACTTTTTAAGAGGAAAAGATGGGTTGTATGTTCCTCCATTTCCTCATGTTTAATACCTGCAGGATTCTACTTTGTGGTCTATTGATAGTGCATGTATAAAATTCTTTGCCACATATTTTTCATAAATAAATAGATTATCAGTTTCCTAATGACAACTTTCTTATCTGAAGACAGGACTGGAAGTGGCTGGTTAAGTGCCACTGGGGGGAATGGATTTGCTGGAGGTGGTGGTGGAAGAATTTCAATTGATGTTTTTAGTAGGCATGATGATACAGATTTCTTAATTCATGGTATGCGTTTGGTTTCTGCTTGAATATCTTTTCTACATGATCATTGTTTGAAATACCATAGCAGTTGCTTCGGTTTACTCCTAGTATTCATTTTCACAAAATTTTAAGTTTAAATTCTAAATGTTGAAGAGAGGCTAAAGTTGCTTGGTGTCAAAGCTCCCTCCCCTCCGTAACATTTACTCTGACTATAATACGTAGTCTAAACTCTAACATCTACTCTCCTCTCCGTAACATCTGACAATAATAATGTGTCAAAGCTACCTCCTCTCCGTAACATTTACTCTGACTATAATATGTAGTCTAAACTCTAACATCTTGTTATCTTCACTTTGGCATCTTTTTTTGCAGGAGGAAAAAGTTTTGGCTGTCCTGATAATGCAGGTGCTGCCGGTACATATTATGATGCTGTGCCTCAGAGTCTAATTGTCAGCAACCACAACATGTCCACAAATACCGACACACTCCTAATGGAGTTCCCTAAGCAACCACTTTGGACAAATGTGTACCTCCGAGATCATGCAAAGGCTTCTGTTCCTTTGCTTTGGAGCCGTGTTCAGGTCATCGAAGAACTAAATCTTTTGTCCTATTTGAATATACTTTACGTTTATTGCTATTTTTAACTCATACATGATATTAGTTTCTTGATAACTATGTTTCTTTGGCTTATATCCCTTGGTATCATTCATTTTTGCAGTTATTCTCTATTTGGAGTGATAGCATCTAATTTACAATTTGGTTGGTCTGTTTAATTCATCTCTAAAGGGCTGAATTAGAATTAAATTTAGATAAATTAGATGATTTATCCAAAAAGGATTGAATTAGCAAGGTATCTTGAGGCATATTTTTTTAAAACTAAGTGATCAAAACGTTGTAGGAATCAGAATAAGTCACCTGACCCAGATGTACCATGTTGGGAAACCAGTTGAAAAATTAATTATTATGGGTTTGAAACTTAGATCCTCTAAAGATAATTGGAACACTTGTCAAACATTGGAGCAGATGCTAAACCTGTATTTAGTGCTAGATCCCAAGTTATTATAACAAAAGTTGAGAGTTACACATTTAGACACCAGAGTCTTCTGTATTTCATAATTTTGTCTTTGTAATTTGTAATATAGGTTAGGGGGCAAATTCGCTTATCATGCGGTGCAGTGCTAAGCTTTGGTCTTGCACATTTTGCTTCTTCTGAGTTTGAATTGATGGCAGAAGAACTTTTAATGAGTGATTCAGTTGTCAAGGCAAGTAATTATTACTTCTCTGCTCAAATTGAACATTTCTTAAGGATATAATACTGGGCTCTGCTTTATCTATTAGCCATGCAAAATAGTCATAATATATCTTGTAGTTGTCCTTTATGTTCTTATAATTTTGATGATGGTCTTCACTGTTTATTCTTTCAATTTAAAATAATAGATATATGGGGCTCTTCGTATGTCTGTCAAAATGCACTTGATGTGGAATTCAAAAATGCTTATAGATGGTGGTGCTGATGCCATTGTGGCAACTTCCTTGCTTGAGGCCAGCAATTTGGTAGTTCTAAGGGTAATTAGCCTATCATATTTTTACATTTAACGAAAAACCACAATTATATTTCTTCCATGTAAGATATGGTGTTTTATGGTTTCAGGAGTCTTCTGTGATACATTCTAATGCAAATTTAGGAGTTCATGGACAAGGATTTTTGAATTTGTCAGGACCAGGAGATATGATTGAGGCACAGCGCCTGATCCTCTCATTATTTTACAGTATCAAAGTAAGCTGAATGCTTCCTTTGTTTTGATATATATGCGTAACTCTTTAAAGCCAGGCTTTCCCGGTTCAGATTTGAAAGGGCGTGGCTAGTCATTTTGGTTACATAATACATAGAGGTAGATGGATAGTGCATAAAACGGCATGTCCTACAAAATTGATAGCTGCTGGACCCAAGTTTGGGTATAATTTGCTTAAATTGTTTACTGGTGGGAAATTAGCCACTGCTAAATTTTGAGGTGTTTTACCCCCTTTGAATTGAATGAACTGAGTATTAAAAATATGTTAATTGACGTGCCATTTAATTTTGACATTGGCATGCAATCTCTCCAGTGGCATTACTTATTCATGTGCTAACTCTTCCTTCCAATTATGAAGGTTGGACCTGGATCTATTCTGCGAGGTCCCCTGGAAAATGCCAGTGACAATGATATGTAAGTTATTAATCTAAAAGAATTGATTCTTCTGTCATTTTCTTGTTAGGTATTTAGTTTTGGTAATTGGCAGGACACCACGGCTCTACTGTGAATTTCAAGATTGCCCTATTGAATTGCTTCACCCACCTGAGGACTGCAATGTGAATTCTTCCTTATCCTTCACCTTCAGGTCTTCAGTTAGCCAGATTGAAATCAGTCATATCTTTGTCAGAATTCAGATCATATTAGATTCTCCTGTGAAGGTTTTGTATATTCAGTTAATGAATTGTTGGATTGGAATGACATTGCAGATATGTCGTGTTGAAGATATTAATATTGAGGGTATCATAACAGGATCTGTTGTTCATTTTCACTGGGTTAGAACTGTCGTCGTCCATTCTTCTGGAGAAATTACCACATCTGCTTTGGGTATAGCTTATACCGAATTTCCCTTATGAACTTTCAATGCTGATGGTTGGTTACTTTTAATGAGGGATATTGTTAGACTGTTATAGGATTCGATTATTTGCCACTCATTTGGAATTGGACTGCTCCAGGTTGCACTGGTGGGGTGGGTAGGGGAACAGTACTACAAAATGGTCTTGCTGGAGGCGGAGGGCATGGTGGCAAAGGTGGGGAGGCATATTATGATGGCAGTTTTATTGAAGGTGGTGTTTCATATGGAGATGCAGATTTGCCTTGTGAACTTGGTAGTGGTAGTGGAAATACTAGTCTTGCTGGTGCAACTGGTGGTGGTGGAATAATAGGTTAGCATCTGAATCTGTTGAGCTTCTACTCTTGCTATTAGTTACTTTTTGTTGTTCTTTGGATGGGACAGAGCATGGCAAAAGGCTTTGTTCTTATTTTGTATTTTAGACGAAATACATAATTTCACTTATGGTTTAGCCGTAGGGTTTGGTTCCCGAGGCTTGAGGTTCTAATTGCTCCCGCTGCCGTATGTATCTTCTGTTCTGAGGCTATAGCATATTATGTTGCTGCTTGGTAGACTTTTCTAAATTTATTTAATAATCTTTCAGAAAGAACAATACCAACATATTTAACACCAATAAACATTTTTAGGGAAAAAATGCATCACTTCTAATATCAACTTAACTTTTAACTATTAATATGGCAAATATATTGTATTTTTTTAAAATTTATATTCTGCGTAAATAGCTACCCTTCTCATTTTGACTCACTAAAGTGACCAAATGAAAAAATGACCAACTTTGATTCATTTTGAGAAATTATATTTGAATAAACCTTAATGTAATTCTTTTTCCTTTAATTATACCATAGACTCTGAAATGTTCCTTTAAATTGCTATGATTAGTACCCTTAATCAAGTCAGTTCTTTGCTCTGTGTAAATCGTATTCTGAGTGGTCTATATTTCAAAGGATAAGTTGAATTTCAGATATCCTATTCTTTTCAAGTAATTTTACAGAAAATGGACGAGTCTCTTCCCCCCCCCCCTCCTCATAACAAGTCACTGCAAGTTATTTTTGTAATATTTTTGTAAGGTTTTTTTGCGCATCATTGAACTTTGGAGATTGTTTTGTTATCTGTCAGATTGAACTTTGGGTTGTTGGTGATCTTCCTCCTTTTAATACTTAGTTCATTTTCTGCCTAAACAGTAATGGGATCACTGGAGCACTCACTCTCAAGTTTGTTTGTATATGGTTCCCTTAGAGCTGATGGAGAAAGCTTCGGAGAAGTTATCAGGAAGCAAGGTTATAATGCCATTTCAAACATAGGTCCTGGTGGTGGATCAGGTGGAACCATCCTTTTATTTGTTCATTCAATCATGCTTGCTGATTCTTCTGTTATATCAACTGCTGGAGGACATGGCAGCCCAAGTGGTGCTGGTGGTGGGGGTGGTGGGCGGGTTCACTTTCACTGGTCCGATATCCCAACTGGGGATTTGTACCAACCCATAGCGACTGTGAAAGGAAGCATTAACACCAGGTTTGTATCAAAGGCATATTACTTGCTTCTTACATTTTGCATCTGATGAATGATTAAGTTGCCAGCTCCCCTACTCAACACCTCCGACCCTGGAGGTCTTCTCGTCACTTAACCCGCATAATAAATTGTATTCTGCTGTTGAAACGAATTTGGTAATAGAGTGAGGAAAATTCAAATGCATAATCTAATATATGTTGAAAACAACTTATTTTATACTTATACACTTTGAGAATCCATATGCTAACAGATAATCATTCCCAATTTTTGCATCTGTAATTTTGACCTGCAAATCAAAAAGGTTCCTCAGTCGTTGCTCTATTCTCTACTTAACTAAGCACTGGGAAAAGATGGATAGTTTACTAACTCATATTGTCCATTAGATGGCCCAGAAAATTCATGTCTTTAAAAGTGTGTGGACTTGTGGGCTCATGTTATGAAGTATATCATGTAATGACGGGAAGAAACAAGGAAGTATCAAGGGGCAGTTACTGTTGCTGGGAGCTTTTTTTGTGATCCTATCTCAATGTATACTAGGCATCTAGGCTCTTCTAAACTTTTGATAATTAAGGGACCTCTTAGTTTTTATGTTGTTGTAACAAAAGGACCTCTTCATGGGCTGTTATGTTCATAGAACTGATAAGAAAGCATTTCTTTCTCGTCAATGGCAAAATTCTCCATTTGAAGAGCTGTAATAACTGCAAAGGCTTTCAGTACCTTGCCTGTTGATTGATGATTAACTCTGTTAGATTATGGATTTTTGGTGAAATTATTCAAATAATTAGTCCTGTTTGCAGGGGAGGCTTTGGGAGAGGTCAGGGTCACACTGGAGAAAATGGAACTATCACCGGAAAGGTCTGTCCTAAAGGGCTTTATGGCATCTTTTGTGAGGTAGAGTTGCAAATTCATGACATTATTTGGAGTTTGGATTTGTTTTGTTTCTTTCAAAGTTTACCTTCATTTTGGAATTTAAAAAGCTGTTTGCTTGAGAGAACTTTTAGTTGACAATTAATTCTCTGGTTTACCATATTACAATTTTCTTCATGAAATGTATATTTCCGGTTTTTGGAAAATGGACTTGTTTAGAGCAATGCAACTATTATATATTTCATCTGGACACCTGGATAGTGCTAAATTTCTTCTAACATTTGTATCTTTTAATGATCAATGTTAGAAATGGTTATTTGTTGCAATTTTCATCTGGTTTTCTTCACAATTTTATATTTTCTACTGCAGGAATGCCCTCTTGGGACTTTTAAGAATGTCAGTGGATCTGATAGAGTCCTTTGTCATAAATGCCCAGCTAATGAGCTTCCAAGTCGGGGGATATATGTTAATGTTCGAGGTACTCTTAGGATTTAACTGTCACTGCTTCTATATGTGGAAGAATGGGCATCTCTAGCTGTATGCATTACTGATTCTTTCAGCATATTACTTTCTGAAAATTTAATAGTGCTTTTGCTGGGTTGTGATTTTTCTTCTCATTGCTGACAATAATGCATATCATTTGAGGCTTGCAAATTTTTAGGCTCCTTTTCTCTTCTTAGATATTAATTTTTGTTTCAACATTGTCTTTCTCTACAGGTGGTGTTACTGATCGCCCCTGCCCATACAAGTGCATTTCTGATAGATATCATATGCCTCACTGTTACACAGCACTTGAAGAGTTGGTGTATACTTTTGGTGGGCCATGGTTTTTTGGTCTTATTCTTTTAGGTCTCCTCATCCTTTTAGCACTAGTTCTTAGTGTTGCAAGGATGAAATATGTTGGTGCAGATGAATTGCCACCTCTCATGCCTGCTCATCGTGGCTCTCAAATAGATCATTCATTCCCTTTCCTGGAGTCATTGAATGAGGTTCCCCCCTAGTTTGTTTCCTGTACACTTGATGTTTTGTCTGTCGTACTGATCCAAATACTCTGTACTTCCTAAATAGTATTCTTAAGGATCTAATTGTTTTATCTATCAGGTTTTGGAGACAAATAGAACTGAGGAATCCCAGAGTCATGTGCACAGAATGTATTTTATGGGACCAAATACATTTACTGAACCTTGGCATCTTCCTCTTGTTCCACCAGAGCAATTAATTGAAATTGTGTAAGTTCTTATATTTGACTCGATGTGATTTGTTGATCAATTTTCACTAAAAATGGTAGTCCTTAATTACAGAGGTCTTGTTCAAAGTACTAGAGTAGGAAATTAATTTATGTAAAGAGTTTTCTAATGTCATTTGCATGACAGATATGAGGATGCCTTCAAGAGATTTGTGGATGAGGTTAACGATTTAGCTGCATATCAGTGGTGGGAAGGATCAATCTACACCATTCTTTCTATTGTTGCATATCCACTTGCATGGTCCTGGCTACAGCAATGCCGAAAAAGGAAATTGCAACAGCTTCGTGAATTTGTTCGATCTGAATATGACCATTCTTGCCTTCGTTCTTGCCGCTCACGTGCATTGTATGAAGGGCTTAAGGTACCTTCTTCCAATAAATTCTTAAATTATTCTATTATTTTGCGTATGGATTTTTTTGGCTTGTTATATGTTGGAGTAACCTTTCTTTGGAGTTTAGCAATGCTTTTGCTGTTGTATGTATATGGATGTGTTAAGTGGATGAAGCTCATGGAAATGAAAAAGGAATTTCAGTTGATTGAGATTTGATCTTTCCTGTTGGAATCACTTTCTTTCTTTTTGCTTAAGCTTAAGAGTTTCTGTGCTCTTCTGTTTCATGCCAAAAGAACTGGAGAACATAACGCTGATCCCCCTGCTGTTACTCTGCAGGTTGCTGCAACTGCTGATCTAATGCTTGCTTATGTGGACTTTTTCCTTGGCGGAGATGAAAAGAGAGGTGACCTTCCTCCTAGTCTTCATCAAAGATTTCCAATGTCTTTGGTTTTTGGAGGAGATGGAAGTTACATGGCTCCTTTTTCTCTTCAAAGCGATAACATTCTTACTAGCTTAATGAGTCAGGTTTGTTATTAAATGATTGTTTTGTGAAAAGTTTGTTCATAGCTTCTTTTAGTGACTGAGTTTGTTAAGGCCAATTTATTGCTTCTTTCTGTTTTGTAGTGTGTTCCACCAACCATATGGTATCGATTAGTGGCTGGTCTAAATTCTCATTTGCGCCTTGTTCGCTATGGTCACTTGAAACTTACTTTTGGTCATGTTATTAGCTGGCTTGAAACACATGCAAACCCTACTTTAACTACATATGGTGTACGTGTTGATCTTGCATGGTTTCAGCCAACATCATCTGGTTATTGTCAGTTCGGGCTTATGGTATCTGCCTCCTGCAATGAGAGTGTTCGGTGCTGGATTGAAGGTCAAGGTAGATGCTTTCCAACTATGGAGCATTCAAGGTATCAATTGTTTGGTAATATTTTTTTTTTTTTGCAGTTCACCTATGAAGTTTTTGTTTACTTACATTGTTTTTTTCTTCCTAATGGGGGGTGATTTGCAGTTGGCGTGGTCCTAGTAGGGAGACACGGTTGGTTGCCCTGGAACCAGTGGACATTTAAGGATACCTGGAGGGATATTGCATACAAAAAACTTACTAACACTTAAAATGAGGAGGGCAATCTGTTTTCCTTTCACTTTTATAGTTTACAATACCAAGCCCGTTGGCCATCAGGTTGCTCATTTTCTTCATTGTAGACTATTAGATTAGCTGTCTTTTCTTTCAAACACATTTGGTTGAAGTTCCGGTGAAAACTAACTCTCTTCTTCCTAATTATTGGCAGGATCTTGTCGGTTTGCTGATCTCTATATTACTTCTGGGAGATTTTAGCTTAGTTTTGCTTACTTTGCTACAGATGTACTCTATATCACTATTAGACTTCATTTTAGTTTTGTTCATCCTTCCTTTCGCAATATTCTTTCCATTCCCAGCTGGTATCAGTGCCTTGTTCAGTCATGGACCAAGACGATCAGCTAGCCTCGCACGTGTATATGCTTTATGGAATATCACATCTTTGATCAATGTTGTAAGTTGTCGTGAGGTTACTTTATGCTATTTCCTAATGTTAGCATCAGATTATTGATAACGAGTGCCATTAAGAACGGTTTGCTGTTTTTGCCATTAATATAAGATTCGTAATGAGTGTCATTAAGAACATTTAGCAACTGGTTTGATTTTTGTTTTCGCATCATTGTGCAAGTGGAAGTGATGTCTCTGATCAAATTGTTTCTACGGGGAAATGTCAGGGAAGTCTATTGCATAACTAGTATTGCTTGTGCTTTTGCTCACTGCTACAATCGATTTGTGATAAAATTAAATGTAGTTTATTTGCTCAAACTATATATTACACATGCAAGAATTAAGTAAAATCTACAGAGCTGCTTTCTAAGTCCGGTGTGTCCCGGTAAAGAGATTTCAAGCATTTTGTCAACCTGATTATTTGTGTTAACTGTGACAGATTGTCGCCTTTGTGTGTGGATTTCTACATTACTGGAGCCACTCGAGCAGAAAACATGTGAACATGCAGTCATGGAATTTCAGCATGTAAGTATGGACTTGGTTGATTTATTAGTATTTTAACTGGTGCGTGTGTACTTATTATATGATATCGATGGGGGTGGGGTGTGCAGGGACGAAAGTGAATGGTGGATGCTTCCTTCTGGATTAGTTGTTTGTAAAATAGTACAAGCAAGACTCATTGATTGCCATGTGGCCAACCAAGAAATTCAAGATCACTCTCTATATAGCACTGATCCTGATGTGTTCTGGCAATCTTGAACTGAACCCTGTTCCCCCCCGGGGGAATAGTTACAGGGTAAGTAAAACTAGGGTTTAGTGAACCTACCCCCCATAGCTTTGTTGTCAGTGTAATTTGGTGTGATGGATTTGATTAGTAGCATAGAATTGAAGTATTGAGTGGCACTTCAGTTTTGTAAATGATGCATGCATCTTCTCTCTGTATATACTCAGAGAGAGAAGGAGAAAGAGGAGAGTAAACAACAGAAAGAAACGAAGAAGGAAATGAACCATTGTTTGATGCCCAAGTTAGGGCTATTGTTTTCGGGTTTTTTTTAATAATTTATTTTATGGAATGGAAGCTTGTTTCATCAGAAGGAAGGGTAAATTGATCACAATTACTGGAATAAAGTTCCTAGTCAGACTCTGCTAAATTTCTTTATTAGCTGGAGAATGGGTAAATTGCAATATTTTTAAATTTGACAATTCCAATTTTTGTGTCTGATGATCACGATATGGGTCTCTTGTCACCTGCATTTTAATTTAAAATTCGAAGGCTTTTATTTGATAATGTTTCATCTACGTTAAATTTACCTCCAATTCCTAAGTTGATCTATTTTTATATGAACATATTTTATTTTACTTTACAATATAAAAAATAATTAGAAACATATAAAGAGAATAATTGTAATAAACATTTAAATATACATGAAAGTATTATAATAATTAGATTTTTTATTTGGATTCGACCTCAGTTCTCTTCTTTGTAAAACGTGCCTCTAATTTTAAGAAGTAATTTATAAAATCAAACCAAAACTTATTAAGCTTAAATATTTTAATTACGGTAAAAAGGTAATTTTTGTACTTTTGGAAAAAAATTATTGTGACATTTATATTATTTTTTCTTTCAATGTGACTCTTCAATTTAGAGAATAAAGCCAATTAGTGTTTTTTCGTTGTTGAGCTGACGTGGAAGCTTACGGTGCTAATGTGTAGTCCACGGTGCTATCATGACAGTTCAGGGTGACAGATGACATAGTAGATAGGTTAAATTGGTAACTCAAACATGCAAATTGATCGTCATATCAGCACCGTGAACTAACAAATTAATACTGTAACGGTCAATGATGAAAAATGTTGATCAAAGATTACATTGGATTTGTTTTCTAAGTTGGAGGGTCACATTAAGAGAAACAAATAATATGAAGGTTATATTAGTTTTGTTTCAAAAGGATAGTGACCTATAATGCCTTTTTGCCTTTAATCATTCATAGGAAAAGAGTGGTCCCATCCAGTATCCAGTGTCCCCACTCCAGGAAAGGCAAGCCAACTCACTTGCTTACCCCGCTTTACTTTCTTTCTTATTTTGTGCGTTATATTTTCATAATTTAAACTCAAAATGAAGTCACCACTCCCTCACCTACTACAAAAATTCTCTCTTTTTTTTTTTCCTTGAAAAACAAACGACAATGGGGAGACATAACATGGAAGTTCCTCTTTTAGATTCGGTGCCAAATCAGAAGAACAATAACAGAAACAACCATGGGAGTACAGCTCTCTGGTTCTTTCTTGTCTGTGCAACCTTTTCAAGTCTGTTCTTTTCTTTTTCTTGACTCTGCTTGTCTTGGTTTGTATCTTGCTTTTAAATGTTTCCCACCAGACACTGGTTTTGCCTGTATGTTTTCTTTTTCTGGTTTCATCCATTTCATCAAATCCAACGACTTTCTGTTATTTCTCTGCAATGGAAATGTTTATAAATAATACCCCAAAAGTTTTATTTTTGATCTTTTTAAATACAGGCATGTCATGTCTTGTGTTTGTCAATGGAGAGTTGAATTGGTTTCTGGTAATATACATTTCCATTTCTTAAATTGACTGCAAAGATTTTTGTTATAACCAAATTTGTTTTATTACAACCTTTTGAACCTGGTCGGTTTTGTGACCTGATATCATATGATTATTGTCTTTAGCACATACGAGAACTTCCATGTTTGCTGTGTTTGATGCTGGGATTTGGTGTATGTTTCAGTCGCAGGCCTAATAATATTTGAAGACGACTTTAGTTATAATGGAGGAAGCAAAAACAATGAAAGGGTTGGAGTTCGTGGCCCCGACAGCGTTGAGTCGGAGCACGGCGTTGTTGCTGCTGATGACGGTCGATGTTCCGAAGCCGGTGTGCTTATGCTCAAGAAAGGTGGACATGCGGTGGATGCTGCGGTGGCAACGGCGTTGTGCATCGGAGTTGTCAACCCAATGTCTAGTGGGATTGGAGGTGGAGCTTTCATGGTTGTTAGGTCTTCATTGACTTCACAAGTCCAAGCCTTTGATTCGAGAGAAACCGCCCCCTTAGCTGCTTCGCAGGTTCAGAATTCTCTGTTTCACCTGCATTTCTTCTAAGACAAGTTATCTATCATTGGTCGAATCTTTGGTTGCAAGAAATTATCGCTTCACACATGCTTATGTATCTGTATGGTAGATTCTCTGTCTGAACTCCTAAATCGAACTAGTCGAGCCACGAAAACCGTAATGATTGTAGTTTTTGTCTTGAAATTGTCTGCTAACATTTTAGTAATTGTTAACCTGCAGAACATGTATGCGAATGATACGAGAGCCAAGTACCATGGTGCATTGTCGATGGGAGTTCCTGGTGAGATCGCTGGCCTTCATGAAGCTTGGTCGAGATATGGTCGACTAGATTGGAAGACACTATTTGAGCCTGCAATAAAACTAGCTAAAGACGGATTTTCCGTCGGACCATATCTCGGATTAAACCTTGCTTCGTATGCGCAGAGGATCATGAATGATCCTGGCTTAAGGCAAATGTTTGCACCGGAGGGGAAGTTGTTACGAGCAGGTGAAAAGTGCCAGAGAGTAGAGCTAGCCCACAGCCTTGAGGAACTGGCAGAACAAGGACCGGGGGCCTTATATAATGGAACCGTCGGAGAAAAATTGGTCGAAGATGTGAGGCAGGGTGGTGGGATTTTGACAAAGGAGGATTTAAGGAATTACAAGGTTGAAATTACAGATGCAATTTTTGCAAATGTGATGAATTACACTATATATGGAATGCCACCGCCTTCGACCGGAACGCTTGGACTGGCTCTGGTGCGTAAATTTATGATATATTCATATTCCGTTCCTTAGATCATAGTAGCATTGGGACTTTAAGGCTTCTAAACATGTTGACATGAAACAGGTTATGAACATCTTGGACAGCTATGGAAGTGCCAATGCTGCAAAGGGCGATCTCCGAATGCATCGCCTGATTGAAGCTTCGAAACACATGTTTGCCGAAAGAATGAACTTGGGTGACCCTGATTTTGTTAACGTAACCAAATATGTATCCGAAATGCTTTCTGTTTCTTATGCAAAGCAAATCCAGGAGAAGATAGTTGACAACACAACTTTCCCTGCAAGCTATTATATGTACAGGTATGTATGGTATACAAGCAAACCCTTTTGATTCGCTTCGATGAAGTTTCTGAGCTTTGTAATCCTTTTTGTTACCAGATGGAGTCAACTTAGAGACCACGGAACTAGCCATTTCTGCGTTGTGGACGCAGATCGCAATGCCGTGTCGATGACCACCACTGTAAATTTCCCTTTCGGAGCTGGAGTGCTATCGCCTTCCACTGGGATTCTCATTAACAATGGGATGGGTGATTTCTCAGCACCAACAGAGATCTCCCCAGACATGCTCCCTCCTGCTCCGGCAAATTTCATTAGACCAAACAAGAGACCTCTATCTTCCATGGCACCACTTATTATTACCAAGGTTTCAAAGCTTCCTTGTACGATCGTGCAGCTGAAAAATCTACATGTCTTATCGGTTTAACTTACCCGAACACCTCTTTCGGCAGGATAATCAGCTGGCAGGAGTCATTGGTGGCAGTGGTGGAATGAAAATAATACCAGCGGTAGCCCAGGTTTTTCTAAATCATTTCGACTCGGGGATGCAACCCTTAGCTGCAGTTCAACATCCAAGGATCTACCACAAGGTACGATTCGATTGAATACATAGATATAATAGTTGTATTTGAAAGGGCATTCAACGAGCTTCATATCGGTTTTCCGCAGCTAATACCAAATGTAGTTTCCTATGAAAACTTGACTTGCATCAATGGTGATCACATCGAGCTTGCAGAGGAGACAAAGGTGTTCCTCGGAGACAAGGGGCATCAGCTGCAGCCCATGTCAGGTGGAGCTGTTGTTCAGTTCGTTGTACAAACACTCCAAGAACCGATAGACACGGGTCGTAAATTCGGAGAAGATCCGAACATATTTCGTGGAAAATTAACCGCTGTTAGTGACCCTAGAAAAGATGGCAAGTCTGCTGCCCTTTGAATAACTTGCTAAGCATCAGTTCTAGAAGCACTATGCAACTGAAGAAAAATTAAATGACCATGCCCTTGCATGTTGCAGACAATGACTTGGTTCTCATTTCATTCTTAATGTTTAGATGTATACTAAACAACACCCGTTAATTTAAATAAAATATTCAGGCAGGTATGTCCAAGACCACAACATAAGTTGATAAAAATTCAAGTTGGAAACCCAAAAATCAACATGCTGAATAGTACACGACAAAATCATTTCAGGACTTATGGAATAACACTAGGCAGCCGGCTAATTTGCTTATTACAAACTCTGGTGAAAACGAGCATTGGTAAACTATCAAGTGCAACTGGGGCTACAGTTTCCATTATCCAACAATGGAGTTGCGGGTTCTTCATCGAGCTTGTCTTCGATGATATCTTTGGGGTGCAAAAAGCTTGGTTGATTCGTTGAAGAAAGAAGCCTTGCCCACATCCTATCTGTAATCACAACCTGGTTCTGTTTCTCGGTAATCCGCTGCACACAAGTTATCATCCCAAATTTCTCATGTTATCAGTTTAGCCATGAAGGTAAACAAGATTACTTATAAATAAACAACTCGAAAATTTCAACTTTCGGTTTGACACTTCTTGAAATGGGGAAACAGAGACAAGAATTGCAACAGAATACGATGCAAATAAGGTCTTTGAATGAGACTACATATACTCAGACAGCAGCAGGAAGAAAATTACTGTCGACAGTGATGAATTCATCTACCACCCGGGAAAGGAAAAATAAACATCAAGCCATGGGTTCGTTTATGATATATATAATTCTATCCCCGCCCTTGTGTGTGCATACATGTATCAAGGCAAATTCTCTGGGAGGAGCATAGGTCTATAAACCTGAAGAACTGAATGCAAGGGTTACAAGGAATACTAGAACCTGAACATTGGGAAAAAAGACAAAATTAACTGACCACCATGAGAAGTGATGCATGCAGATAACCAGAAAGGTTCAATGTTGCAAAAGGGGCACTAAAATGACATAATCTTTGACTACTATGGCATTAAAAGCATGCGATAAAAAACATTGGTTTTCTAGACTAAATTTACAAATTAAAGCTTTTTATTTCATTTCAAACTCACGTAGAAAGGAATGTATGTCTGCCTGCCGTTGACAAGACCACTTGTGTATCCGGTGTACCCAGCCATTGCTCCATGAACAGCACTTTGAGCAAGAAGCGTGCAGTAAACATTGTCAGATGCATTGCTTGGAATAGCACGAATCATATAAGTAGGATCTGCAAGAAGATGAAGACAAGTTCAGTAACTTCTGCCATTAATTAGCAACTTCAACTGAAAAAGATCTATGGTTTCTTTTCCTCTTGAAAAATGAAATCTTCAAAAAAGATCTTATAAATTTTTATTTGACTGACCTATATATTTGAGATTTATGGTCATCTTCCTTTCTTTTGAAAAGTGGTCCTGGAAATGACAGGCAAAAGCCAATGAATGTCACATAAAAAAACTTCCATATTATACATCATTACATGCCTGTGAATTGTTCCAAAGGCGAATCTATATGACATACCTTGATCCTCTGTGATACCCATAACGCGACATCCTGGAGAAGCTTGTTTCCTGAAGCATCTTTCTGTGTATTTGATTCAGCAAGCAGCTCCTGTCCTGCACCCTCCGCTATCACGAGAACCATATGCCCATTTTCTTTAAGCCGGCTCTCAATGTATTCAAAAAGTCCACCAGGTCCTTCAAGATAAAAGGGTGACTCTGGTATCAAGCAACAATCCACGTCTCTGCTTGCAAGAGTAGCATACATTGCAATAAAACCTGAACATAAGTTGGGGTTAGATTGCATTAAGGAAAAAAGAGAGGAAAAACCTAACATGGTTATAGTAAACAAAGTATGATACAAGGGAAAGTAAACTCATCTGCAGAAAAAAAACATAAGTAAAAGAAAAAAAGCAACTTAAACCAGTATAATTAAACGCTTCCACTTGATAGTTTTAACTCTTATACTTTTTCAAATTCAGGATGACCACTTTAAAGGGACACCAAACAAAAAACTTACCACTGTAGCGACCCATCAATTTCACAAGACCAATGCCGTTCTCAAAACTTTCAGCTTCAACGTGAGCAGCATTAATGGCGCGCTGAGCCTCCTCAACAGCAGTGTCAAAGCCAAAGGACTTGTCAATAACCTATCATGTGTGAAAAGGAAACAAAATTAAAAGACCATGTGGTAACCAAATAAAATACTTTGCAGTTTCTAACATGCTTCTGGTTCACCAACATTCTATACAAGCCAAAAGGATTACCGGGACATCATTGTCAATGGTTTTAGGTATTCCAACAACTGAAACTTTGAGACCTCGCTTTCTAACTTCCTGTAAAGTATGGAATAAACTTTCTTTAATACATATGCACTCGTATGGCAAATCAAGGTTTGTAAATCGTATCACATAATAACCTCAAATATAGCAGATGCACCTCTCTGAGTTCCATCTCCACCAATAATGTAAACCTAAGTTATAACAGACACTCATATGTCAGTTAGATTGGTATGTCTTGATCATAATAACTAATCATAGTTCAATTTATTGGAAACAGTCGCAAAAATCATAGTAGTTCTATCAGACCTGATTAATTCCTCGATCCTGAATGCTGTCAACAATCTTTGCAGTATCATGCCCACCTCGTGATGTTCCAAGGATTGTTCCACCACGTTTGTGGATATCATTGACAACCTTGGGATCTAAATGCACAGTATTTTTAGCATAAAACCCCCTATATCCTCCCTGCAAATGCACAAAACTCATTAATTGTTAATGCACAAATTCATTCAATCATGGAAGACATTTATTTTGAAACATCTTCTAATCAAGTGTAAACATACCAGCATGAGACTGGTAGGTTGACACATTTAATGAAGAAGTCCATATAGTAAGCATTCATTACATCATTTAGATGGGTTGCTATCATTAGCAACGTAAAGCCAGAAACCACCTTAATTTTTGATAGGATTTTTTTTTTGATAGGACAGAAACCACCTTAATGGTTCAAGAACAACTTTTCTAACTTATTTATCATTTGTGAGGGAAATGAAAAGGTGCAACTCCATAAGGAACAAACTCAAGGCCGATCACTTACATCTATCCCCAGAACTTTCTTGACACCATACATGTGGTACAAGCCACACACGATCTCTCTAATCACGGTGTTGAGTCCAGGGCAAAGGCCACCACACGTTACAATACAGGCATGGACATCATCAGGGTGAAAATATACCTAGGAAACCACCAAAACCCAACAGATTAGAGTAAAAACACAATTTAGGGTCCCATCATTCCACATTTCTTCACAAGGTACATAATGCTAAACGCATACCTTTTGACGTGGTCCAGCTCGTCGGAAATGCACTCCTCTGGGACTATCCTTGTGAACAACAATCTATAAATACAATAAAAAACATCTTAAAACTATGTTAAAGTACATACCCAATTAGTGTATACTCTTAACTTTTTTTAGTTTCTTCCTATATATATATACATACATGTGAGATGCAAGTACTCAAGGAAAATAAAGAAATGTAGGGCTAACCTTTTGAGGAACGGTGTCATCTACATGGACAAAATATTGCCTGGTGAAACAGGGAAATTGATCCAATTAATACAAATTTAATAGTAAAAGGAAAAGTGTTGAGGAATGGGGCTTACTTAACAACCGAGTACGCTGGATTGTCTTGCAACGGATTGGTATAAACCTTCCATATGGCAAATGTGAAAGGGAATCAGATTTAAAATTTTCAGAAATTATTGTTTAACTAATTTATTAAGATGAATATAAAGATACTGTAATCTGTAATCGAAAACTGTGTATGCCGGATTGTCTTGCAACGGATTGGTATCAATTTACCATAAGGAGAGATGAATATAAAGATGGAATCTAAAACTGTAATCTGTTTCAAAAAAAAAAAGGAGTGATATTGGGAAATCGAGCTTTTGAAAAGATGGTTTCCTTTTACTTTTGCAATCCAATTTATTAGCAACAAATAAATCATATACGTACAGGCAGATCAGGGATGTAATCTGACAAGTGAGGAACATCTTCCAGAACATAACCACCGGGACCGGTGATGATCTTAGTCTTAGCAGTCTCAGGCGAAGCGGAGGAAGCCATCGTCGGAGAAGTCAAACAATCGATCTTCAAACAACCGGAACTACCGCTAGTACTCGAACGACAACGCTAGTATAACGATAACCGAGATTAACCAAACTGAACTTTCTCCAATTAAAGATACCCGAACTGGATGGCAGCGAAAAGCGCGATTTAAACTTAATCTGATTGCTATTGTTGTGATTTCAAAGGAGAAGGCAAAGATGACGTGGAAGAACGGGAGAGACGGGAATTCATTCAACGGGACATGGGAACGAGTTATTGGGAACGAAAGAAAAACCCATTTTTATAGGAGAAGTAAATGTTTGACTAGGAAAAGGAAAAACTGGACGAGGTTTTGCTTCGTCAAAGATGACCTTTATATAGCAGAAGAAGGGAAATTCATTGCAAGAAGAAGAAAAAAACCCCGGGTTTCGCCCCTCTCCTTGATTTAACGGGTGGTTTTTGACGCCGAGAAAAAGAGAGAAGGGATGTTAATCGTACGGTTTCGGCTTCCTTTTCCTTTTCGGATTCCTATCCCAAGTTGGAAGCTCACTGTACACAGCAATGAAAATGAAGGTTGGACTTTGTTTTTTTTTTTAAGTATAAAAAAAACGTTTTTTTCAGTTTTTTGGGTCAATTCAATACCGGGTGTGATTACGCACATTGGATGAAGATTCTTCTGTAGCTAAAGCTATTATTTTACAGAATCCAATCCAATACAAATCATTGCACACCACATGTTTGTCAAAATTACGTCCATTGGAAATTCGGCATCTCTTTTAAATCTTAGTTTACTTTTTGACAACGAACACGCTATATTTGTTAACCAGCTAGGTATGATAATGGCTGAATTGTGAATGTTTCATT